TTCAAAATATTGCAAAAATTGCAATTTATTTAGATTTTTAACTATTGTTATTACATATATGTACATATTTGTAGATCTAATGGTTTAAAAAATGACATATTTGATAATAAGGCAATTTCTGAAAAGATTTAAATGTATGTTGCATATATGACATATTATATATGTAAAATCCAAATATAAGCTTGTGTGTCGCGTTTATTTAGCTTATATTGTATATACCCATACAAATCTAATATATTGCAATATATGTAAATTACATATAAGTTCATATTTGAATTTCACAAATATAAAAAATGTCATATATGCAAAATATATTTCAACAAATTGCAAAAAAAATTGCCACTTATATTGTTGTCAACTATCAGTAATACATATATGTACATGCTTGTAATTCCAATGGTTAAAAAAGATATATATATATATATATGCCATTTGTGAAATATTTTGAAATATATGTTGCATATATGACATTTTATATATGTAAAATCCAAATATGAGCTTGTGTGTTGTGTTTATCTAGCATATATTTTCTATAATCATAGAGAAATCTGATATATTGCAATACAAGCAAATTAAAAAGTTTTGGATTTCACATAGATAATGTCATAATGTATTTGCAAAATATTGCTAGAAATTGCCATTTATTCATATTTTTAACTATTGTTTTTACATATATGCACATATGTGTAATTCCAATGGTTAAAAGAGAGATATATTAAGCCATTTGTGAAATATTTTTAAATATGTATGTTGCATTTATGATATTTATTATATGTAAAATCCAAATATCAACTTCTGTGTTATGTTAAATTAGCATATAGTGCCATATAGCCTATATTTATGATTTCTAAATGAGTTGCATTAAAATAAATTAAGTATGCATAATTTTTTAACAATTTTTTTTTTCGAATATTTTCTGAAGGTGTTATACAAGGATTCCCGTGGGAAACTGCATCTAGCTCTTTTAAAAGTGAAAGAAAAGCGCACGTCCATCTCTGCGTGGTCATATTATTATGGCGTTGACACATTCTGTTAACACCAAAGCCAAAAGTGTGTCGAACCTCTGTTTTTGACAAACCAACACCTCACAGGTTGCCTTGCAGGATAGCATTGTCAGGTCTTTGTTAAAACAATATACTGCGTATATGCATGCTAGACATTGACCATAGTGAAGTGTAAGGGCGACTCTTTGATTTTGACTGTTTGATTTGATCTGATTCATCAGGATTTGTCTTTTAAGTGCTGTTTAGTGCGCATGCGCAAATATTTATAATTTTGCAATAACCCAGCAAACAATTTTGTGGTTAATAGACGTCTAATAGACATCTACACATGGACAGATTGGCTAAAATTTGGCTGTCAGTGAAAATCGAGCATCTAGGAATAGGCCAAAACTAGCTTAGTCGTCAAATAGACATATTAGACAGACTTTTAATATGTGTAGTCATTCATTTCTGTTCATTTGATGACTAGTTTTGGCCTATTCTTAGATGTCTATTAGATTTACAGCGCTAAATTTAGCCTTATTTTAGCCAAGACGACTATATTTAGACGTCTATTAGACATCTTTTAAATATAAGAAAATGCTTGCTAGGTAGCCAACAGGTCGTTAGAAGAGTGTTATGATGGGAACCAACTATTAAGCTCGCTCTCCCAGTAACACGGACTGCTCTCACACACCTCAGCTCTTTTTATTACCTGTCAGATTTTGTACATGTTACCCGAGCGCAGAGACGTTCCCACGCTTCTCTCCAACAAACACGAGAACGCCATGCAGTTCACATATAGACTTCATTTTTGGCACATTGGTGATATCTGTGATGATGTGTGCATCCTAGGCTGTCGTGCATCGTGTCAAAAAATGTTAACGTTATTTTGTATTAATAATGTTGCCTATAAATGTGTTGAGGATGCTGTCTGTAAGATTATCCGACGAAAGTTTTTTTAAATGTTGTTGCCTTCACATTTTACTCAACTCCTGTCTTTCCACCTAGTTTGCATGCAAAAGGCTGGGATTAAAGCAAATGGCACGCGCGGAGCAGTGAGGTGTGAGGGTTCCTGTGCTTTTTGTCAACAGAATGAGAACGACCCAGGTGAGACGAGACTGTCTGTCTGGAGCTATTAGCCTGTGTATTATGGAATTAAATAATAAGAAAGCATTCTGAATTAACATACTAACTGCAGTAGATCTCAAATTACACAATAGTTTTACTTCAATAACATTAACAATAGTTAAGTACAAGGAATGGAGTCATTGCGCAAAATGGTTACTTCAATTTTACTACATAAAAAACATTGTTGGTTTTAACAGTTCTGCCTAAATAATTCATGCACATAAATTGAAATTATTCAACTTCAATCTAGGCTTTCTGTTTTGGGGTGTCACCAATATGGCAGGCAAGTGTGTAAATGTTTAAAACTCGTCGGTAACCAACAGGCTGAAGTGTTATGATGGGAACAGGCTACTAGCCACGCTCTCCCAGTTACACCTCACCTCATAACGCGGGCCAACACCTCAGTCATTTTTTATTACCTGTCAGAATTTGTACATTGTCAACAGCTCTCAAATACGTTCCCACGCTACTCTCCGACAAACGCGCGTATTGAAAACAAGGCTAACGTTTAGACCAAAGCGTTTAGTCTTCATTTTACAACTTCCATCCACAGGACGCGCGATTTACCTGTGTGGTGCACCATTAACCCTCTGGTATTGAGCGTAGAAATCATCAAAATATGATGTCTTTCAATCACTATCACGTTTGTCAAATGGCTCAAAGCATTTACTTTTGACTTTGTGCAGTGATTATAAAAGTTACTATTGCATTGAGGTTTAGTTTGGGGGTAACAGCACTATGCGCAGTAGTAATGTCACAGAAACATTTAGGTAAAGCCACTTGACGCATGGAGGTCAGCAAGGATAAAATTAACCAGCCACGTGGCTAACTGACTGTTTTCTTTATGCTACTTATGTTCAACAACCTCTTAGATTTACACAGTTATCCTGTGAGCAAACGGCGTCTCCATTATATGGCAAGACACGTGCTGTCTTTGCGTTGTCGGTTTAGCCTAACGTTACGCAATCTCGTCCGTTTAATGGGATATTTTTTTCCAGTGGAGAAGTGAATTAATGAATAACTCAGAGCAGTCTGACTAATTTCAGTGTCACGAACAATCAAGAAATCCTGGCTGCTTGCTTTTCATAGGCACACGCGAACTGTCCGCGCACGAGCGCATTCTGCACAGGTGTGAAGTCGGCACGCGGCACGCGCCCTACTGAATAATAAAGAGGTGTCAGCACACGCGACCCCCTGAAGTTTCACACCGTACCCAGCTGCTTTGGCTCTGCAGCTTTGTGCTTTTTTCAGCAAAACAAATTTATTCCAAATAAAAGTGCGCGTTGGCACGCGCCGATCGTACTTCCACCGTTTATGTTGCCTGTGAACAGCTATTCTGTTAAAAAATACAATCAATGCGACATTATTTAAAACGTTTAAATAAATTGCATAAAGACAAATTAATAATAGCCAGTAACACATTTATAAAAAACAATTAAAAAAGCATAATGCGCGCTTGAATCTAAACCAAATGTACACAATCCTGTCAAATGAACAGCCTCAACTTTAAGTACATGGCATAACATTGTTTTCTCATTGTTTAATTCTTTGCATTTTTTTTCCTTTCCCAGTACTGGGTTGCAGTTGGAAGAGCATTCGCTGCGTAAAACATATGCAGGATAAAATGACGGTTCATTCCGCTGTGGCGAGATTAGTAAAGGCGCTAAGCCGAAAAGAAAACGAATGAATGAATGAATAAAAGTGCGTGTTGGCACGCGCCGATCGAACTTTCCCTGTTTCTTTCGCATGTGAACAGTTATACTGGCAAAAAATGTAATTGAGTACTTGCGACATTATTTAAAACGTTTAAAAAACAGCATAAAGACAATTTAATAATAGCCAATATGACATTTATAAAAATCATAATGCGCGCTTGAATCTAAACCAAATGTACACAATCCTGTCAAATGAACAGCCTCAACTTTAGGTACATGGCATAAGATTGTTTTTTTATTATTTAATCCCTTGCATTGTTTTCTCTTTCCCAATGTTGGGTTGCAGCTGGAAGGGCATCTGCTGCGTAAAACTGGGTAAGTTGGCGGTTCATTCTGCTGTGGCGACCCCTGATTAATAAATGAACTAAGCCGAAAAGGAAATTGATGAATTAATTGTTTTCCCTTCATAACACTAGACCACGAATCACTAACACAAGCTTATAGCAGGCAACTAGTTTAAATTGTGTTGCTTTTGTGTTTACGTTGCACACTTGCATACTATAAAATTGGCTATGTTTTAAAAACCCAAACAAATCTGAACAGCACATGGACTTACACTGTGGAAATAAGAGCTTTTTTTCTCTTTTTGTTGTTATTATAATGGCATCTGTGTCACCAGCGGCGCGTGGGCTATTGATATGCACATTGACAGGCTTGTTTTCTGATGCGCGCACGTGCCCATGGAAGTCTAGGTGTGAGTGAGCGTGTACCATCAGCCCTTTTGATTCAAAGCGTCCATGAATGCTTAAACCAATTCGGTGAAAACTATATATTATCTTATCTGAGGAAATCCAATATAATTAATTGGCTAAACATTTATGACAAATGTCTAAGCTAATAGTAGTTTGCGATTCGTCTAGCTAGCCTAATACCAAGACAATAGACTACCTTTCTTCCCAGTGCTTTGTCTTTTTCCTTTCTTTTTTGCTTACCTTTATTATTTTAATGTCTAAAGACTTCAACTAACAAACCAAAAATACAAATCTATAATCAAAATCTACAAATAAAACCCTTTATTTTTTCTCATGGGAGCTGATTGACAAGCAAAAAAATAGCAGCTCAGGGATTGGGTTAGGTTAGACAGGGGGCGTGGCTTTGCCACCACGCGCCTGAACGCCTATAAAAACCGGTGCTGCGCATCAGACTTCACATTTCACATTTGTTAACGCACCTCGATGAAAGACCTCCACCTGCATACCTAACAGAAGAAAGCTTGGACATTTTCTGGAATCATATCCTCACTGATATCAACTATTGGAGTACACGTGCAATGAAAATCCTGGCACAGACTGAAAAAATCAAAATGGACAGAAAGGTAACAACTTGTTTCCAGATGAATACCATTGAGACATGCACATGCTGTAATATTAACCAGTTAAAACGTGATCTGTTGACTGACATTAGTCCTTTGCGTTTTCTGAAGCTGTTAAAACCTCAGGTAGAAAGACGTAGAAGAGAAAGGATGAACCGGAGTCTAGAAAACCTGAAACTTCTGCTCCTGCAAGGCCCAGAACACAACGTAAGACCACCTTTTGCTTTTAAACACAGTGGCATCTATGAATATGTGACTAGCTTGATCCAAAGCTGATTTATGTCAACTCTTATGTTTTGTAGCAACCTAATCAGAGACGATTAGAGAAAGCAGAGATCCTGGAATACACAGTTCTGTTCCTGCAAAAGGCGAATAAAGCGAGTAAAGAAGAGGAGGGAGAAGAAAAAAGCCAGTTTATGGAAGGCTTTTCTTCCTGTCTTCAAAAAGCAGCCCGCTTTCTCTTGGAGGAAGGTGGACTGGAAGGCTCGGTCACATCCATGCTGTGTCAACGTCTTGCTCACCCCACCATCAGACTGCCTGTCAGAGGTCACTCCAGAAAGCAGCACGCAGAATCCAACCCACAGCATCATGCGCGTCGTCCACACCACAAAAACACTGTCTCCAAAGCAGGACATCCATCAGCTTGCAGGAACACCAAAGAACCACAAGCGAGCAGAGCTGCATTCAGAAGCACAGACTCCAACACAAAGCATTCGACAGCTCAACCAACCTCCCGCCACCCAGAACCAGCCAGCCAGACTGTCTGGAGACCTTGGCCTTAACTGAGAGAAAAGACATTCATTGAGAAATGGACTCAAAATGATGGGCCTTGTGTAATCTCTTCTGAATTATATGCATAACAGATTTTCTTCTATTGCTTTTATCATCTGACATGACGTTGGAAGTGTAAATAGTGTATGATAAATATTGCAATATATTTTTTACGCAGATTTCTTCTCCCCCTTTTTTTTTTCTTCTCCTTGCATGATCTGTACTGGATGTATGATGATCATTTGTAATACATGACTGACGTATTTATCTGTTTTGCACATTTAATTTATTAATGACATTCCCTTTCATGTTCAGATTTATACGTTGTGTGTTTTGATCAGTACATTCCACCATTAAAAGTGAAATATTCACCATTGTTATGTGTTCCCGACAATAATATTAATCTCTGGAGTGGCATGATGTTTGCCGGTCATTAAAGATGCACGCGTCGAGAGTTTACAGTCGGGCTTTGATCATCAGAAGCCTTTGAAATGCGGAAGAACAAACACTTCACTTCCACACGACTTCTGTTCTCACACCTCAGCTTTCCAGTCTGCTCGAGTCAATAAATAAAGGGTGCGAATATGCGACACGTGCCTTGGCACCTCCAAAACATCGGTCGGTGCTTATAGATTTGAGTTGAGAGTGATTAAAAAACGCTGCGTTGGGTCAAATATGCACAAAACCAATAGTTGGGTTAAAAAATGTAATTGAAATTCAATGCAAACCAACGTCGGGTTTAAATATTTGACCCAATGTCGGGTTAAAATATCGAATAGTTATTTACATTAAAATAAAATAAAATAATTTTTACTAATTTACTATTTTTTTTTCTTGAGGTATAAGTAGTTACAAGCCATTTATATGAGCTGAGTTTAAACAAATGAAGTTGAACATTGCTAAATTGAATTAGTTTGTTTACATTCGTACCATATACATTGTTTGCAACCACTTACCTTAATAAATGGAGTAAATCCAATCTTTTTTTTTTCAGTGTACTTTTTTTAGACTCATCATCTATAAAAATCAAAGCAACCAACTAAAAAGCTGATATCGTGTGTTTTAAATATTGCACAAATTTGACAACAGGTACAGCCTTAAAAAATCGGCTATTATAAGCTGCTCGAGTTGAGAAGTCTGGGATAAATTAATTCTGCTGGGTTTAATGTTGGTAAAGACTCCACACATCAAAGAGATGCTGATGACGGGACAAAAGGCAGAACTGTTGCATGCTTTAACACTTCGTGGGCCGCCGGTTTTGTCTTGCTGGTGTCAAAATGGCAACGACTGGCACGCGCATTTCCATCCGTTTGTATCAAAGAAGCGTGAAATCTTTTACGCAATAAACCTGAATGCGGCCAGGGAATGAAGGACGGGCGTCTTTCCCACGCCTGCACAATTTCAGGCAGTTTTCCCCCCTCAACTTTTCCCCCGAGATTCTATTTTTGTAGTCGTTTATACTCTTATTTACTCAACTTTTTACTTAAGCAGTTATTGTTAATACTTCATTTGTTGACGTTTAATCGTATTTTCAAGACGTTTAGTCTTATTTTAAGTCGTATTTAAGGGATGTTTAAGTCGGAAATGTTTTGATTTTATAAATATTGTATTTATAAATGTGTGAATGAGACACTCTCAGAAAAAATGGAACAATGTTAAGAAGGTACAAACCCTTGTCACTGGGACAGTATATTTTTATGGGACAGAATTTTACCTTAAGACAAAGAAACACAGTTGTACCTTTGCAGATTGTACATTTAAGGACATGATTTGTACAATGGGAAACCAAAATGTACCTTTGGTTTTTAAAACCTGCAGATAATATTGTGCCTTCATCAACTGGACAAATCTGATCCATGAAGGTACCACCACAGTGTCAAGACACTTTGTACCTTTACAGTGTCAGATGTGTTCCTTCAAGAACTGTTTTAAGGCATTTTGCTACTGAAAATCCAAAATGCATCAATTTATTTTGAGTAAATATAAAACATCAAATACATGTTTAAACAATCTTTTTAAAAAAGTTTATTTGTGTGTGAATGCACCTTTTTCATTTACAATAAAAACACTTCATCAAAAATCAAAAGATCTATTTTTGCTAAACATTTCACAACATTTTTCACAAAAATATTACAGAAACACACACTCTCTTACAATATTAAACATCGTTTCTCCTATTTCCACACAAAACCTTTGAATTAAGTTCAATTTATTTACCTTTTTTTTACTTAATTATTATTAATAGAAATATAATAATGTTAAAGTATTGTAACGAGATATGCACAATGTTTGATTAGTTTTACAATATTAAAATGTCTGCATGAACACTTTTACATATGCAGGACTTTTGCCAGCTCAAGTGTGTAGTGGAGAGCAAACGCCAAAAGGTGCAGATTTCAATAATGAAACTGTACTTGTCAAAAAATGCTCAACAAATTGTTTATTAAAATGCCTTAAATTTAGTGTACAATACTTATAGTTTTTTTTTTTTAATCAGTTATTGGCTAAAATGTCTGTAGTGTATGATTGTGTGTGTGTGGATGTTTCCCAGAGATGTGTTGCGGCTGCAAGGGCATCCGCTGCGTGAAAACTTGCTGGATAAGTTGGCGGTTCATTCCGCTGTGGCGATCCCAGATTAATAAAGGGACTAAGCCGACAAGAAAATGAATGAATGAATGAGTTTCTTTAAGCATATGCTTTTAAATGATGATTCTTGTTTTAATATGGAGATCATTCATTAAATCACTTTGCCTTTCCAGTCATTTTCATCGATGTTGTAACAAAGCAGTTGTCTAACACTTATGTACCTTTTTATAAGAACAATTGTGTACCTTCATTTCAATTATACACTCTCAGAAAAAAAAGGTACACAAATAATGTTCCCTGAGGAATACCTTTGTAAAAGTTGTACTTTTGGTACAGAAAAGACCTCTTATAATACTGCTCTGTACCTTTTATGGTACAATTGAAATGAAGGTACACAATAAGTTCTCATATAAAAGGTGCACAAGCGTTGGACAACTCCTTTATTACAATATCAATGAAAATAAACATGGAAAGGCAAAGTGATTTATGAATAATTTCCATATTAAAACAAGAATCATCATTTAAAATCGCATGCTTAAAGAAACTCATAAACATTCATTATTCATTCATTTTCTTGTCGGCTTAGTCCCTTTATTAATCCGGCGTCGCCACAGCGGAATGACCCGCCAACTTATCCAGCATGTTTATACGCAGCGGATGCCCTTCCGGCCGCAATCCATCTCTGGGAAACATTCATTATTATATTAATTAATATAAGTTTTATAAAACAAAACAACTGGTAAAATAAAACTCAAGGTATTGTAAATTAAACATTTAGAGCAGGGGTGCTCAATCCTGTTCCTGGAGATCTACCTTCCTGTACAGTTTAGCTCCATACCCTGATCGAACCCACCTGAACCAATTAATTAGGACCTGAAATCCACTTGATAATTACAGACAGGTGTGTTTGATAAGAGTTGCAACTGAAATCTGCAGGAAGGTAGATGTCCAGGAACAAGATTGGCCACCCCTGATTTAGAGCATTTTAAATGAATGTTTGGTAAGCATTTTTGACACTGTTAAGATACAAAGTGTCTTGTCACTGTGGTGGTACCTTTATGGATCAAATTTGTACCTTTGATAAAGCTACAATATTGTATCTGCAGGTTTTAAAAAGGTAAATTTTGGTTTCCCATGGTACAAATCATGTCCTTAAAGATACAAACTGCAATGATGCAAAAGTGTTTCTTTGTGTTAAGGTACAATTCTGTTCCATAATAAGGTACTGCCCTAGTGGCGAGGGTTTGTACCTTCTTTGGTACAGCATTCTACCATTTTTTTTCTGAGAGTGTATACCATAAAAGGCACAGAACAGTATCATAAGAGCTCTTCTCTCTACTAAATAAGATACAACTTTTACAAAGGTACAAAACTGTTCCTTAAGAACTATTATTTGTACCACCGTGTAGCTTTTTTTTCTGAGAGTGCAGTGTTGGGTTGCGGCTGGAAGGGCATCCGCTGCGTAAAACATGCTGGATAAGTTGGCGGTTCATTCCGCTGTGGCGACCTCTGATTAATAAAGGGACTAAGCCGAACAGTTGGGTTTGCTCATATTTAACCCAACGTTGGGTTTAAACAATCCAACTTTTTTAATTAATTGTTTTCAGAGCTTTAAATACATGGCTTGTATGTCTTTATATATATAAGTGGCTTAAAAGCAAGGTAACTTCAGTGAAAACAGGAACTTTAAAGGAAGTTTTCATAATAATATATTTGTTAAATTGTTACATGAAGAGTTCATGATTTGTTTATATTTTTTATTATCCAGTAAAGAGTTTGTTAGCAAAAAAAAAAAAAAAGATTTCTGTTTTTTTATTTATTTTTTTGTTTATTTATTTATTCAAATTAACCCATAATATAGACTATGAAATAAAAAAGAAAAAAATAAGAGACCCCTTGACATTTATTTAGGTTATTAGGTTTAGGTTTGAATTAAATGGTACAATAATATTTTTATGGTCTGAGAACCTTTATTCAATAATAATACTATACTACTACTTATAATAATGTCATTTACAGCATTAAAAATGCTAATACACCAGCATAACAAAGCAGTAAAATAAGTGTTATTTCACCTAATATTGATTTCTCTACATTTTAATGGTTTTTTGTGTTGTCCAAAATAAAATAAAAAACATGTCTTAAGCATGTCTGGCTTTTTGTTACTTTTATGCAACTGTTTTTTGTTTTTTTTTTGGAAAGAAATAGGCAACACTTTACAATAGAGTTTTTTTTGTGTATTTAGTATTATAAACAAACGATGAGTATTACAGTATTACTCTTTATTAATCTGTTAATTTTAGTAAATGGGAAAATTATTATACGTTAACTCACAGTGCATTAACATGAATCTCTCATTTTAATTTGTCGTACATTTATATATATATAATATAATTATTGTTTATTTTATACCATCATTTGCGATGTTAAACCATTTACCTGTTGTTGTTGTTTTTTGTTAAATCTTATACCTCTCTCACTCTCTCTCTCTCAGATAGTCTGGCACAAAACAAAAGGAAAAGTCCGGCACACTGTCAATGTGCTATTTTAAAGTATTATTGTTGTTGTTTTAAATGTTTATACAAACATATTTACGTATTATCCTGAGTCAGATTTTAGAAGTGTTGTAGGCTGCAGCTAAAAGGGAACAAACATATGTAAATGAAAGCTCCGCCATCTAGTGGAATGACAAAAAACTACAACAAAATAAAATAAAATAAAATAAAATAAAATAAAATAATATAATATAATATAATATAATATAATATAATATAATATAATATAATATAATATAATTCATTTCCTTTTTGGCTTTCCTTTATTAATCCGGGGTCACCACAGCGGAATGAACCGAAAACTTATTGAGCACGTTTTTACGCAGCGGATGCCATTCCACCCGCAACAAATATACAGAAGGGCTAATAATTCTGACTTTAACTGTGGATGTTTTGTTTTAATAAAAAACTTTCTAAAAGTCTAATCCCCTATGAAAAGCTCTGACTGACACGCTGAATTCAAGAAACTCTCAAGCAGCTAAAGAAAAGACATGTATTTCCGCACAAAGCAAATAGCGCACATCAGTCAGTGTGGCAGAACAGACACTTGAGCCTGCCATCTGAATCCATGCTGCGGTCTGTACAATAACACAACAGTGCAGTCTGCAAAACCATTACAAAAATAACAATCTAACTGTACAACAAAGAGATGAACACTAAGCCAAAATGGGGGTGGACACAAATCAGTTCTGTTTGCCTCATATCACGAGCACCAACAGAGAAAATGATGAAACTCTTATATCAATACTGCTGTTTGATATAAATATTAATGAGTGTACAAGGAAAAGGCAGATGTCAAAACGCATGGTTATACATAACCGAGCAAACTGCTGGAGCTTTGTCTGAAATTAATACCAACGGCATCGACAAGGACTACATCAGAACAGTAGATTGATGTATAAATGACAACTTTACCTTCATTCTTGTCCTGATTCGTGTGGGGATTTAGCATATATGAACACATTTTCATTAATCTGGAAGTTTATAAGATGCAGTGCGGATGTATAGGAGCTGGTGAAACCATATTTTTAAAATGACCTCGTGTGTAAAAAGTGCCTTGCTGAACTGCAAAACACTTTAAAAGGACAGTTCACCCAGAAATGAAAACTTCCTGTTAACTTATTCACCCGCAGGCCATCTAAGATGAAGGCGACTTTAATTCCTTAGTAGATTTTGAGCTGAATCTGTGTTTTTTTTGGTGACTCTTATAATGGCAGTGGATGGTTACAGGTTTTTCAGATTAAACTAAACACATGCAAATGAGTCTAAATCAATAGCCGTGGCTCCTGATGACACGTTGAGCTCTTGTGAAGTGAAACGATTGGTCCTTATAAAAAAAAATGTAACATTTTATCATCAAATGTGATGAGGTCTACATTCACGGAGGTCTGTTTGACCAGGCTGTGAATAAAAGCTCATAATCTTGTAAATAAATATAAATAATTAAGTAATTTCTTACACAAACCAATCGTTTCGCTTCACAACACATCAGTGTGCCATCGACTGTTAATTTGGACTTAATTGCATGCGTTTATTTTTAATCTAAAAACCTGTCACCATTCACTGCCATTAAACAAATATACCACTCGGCTCATAATCTTCTTTAAGCTATACTGAAGAAAAAACTACATCTTGGATTACCTGTGGTGGAGAAAACTAACAGGACATTATCGTTTTTGGGGAAACCATCCCTTTAACATCCATGACTCCTATCATGTATCCAACATAGTGTTTGAGTGTGAACTGAGGAGACACACAAAGAGTTTCCACAATCCAGGTTCACCCAAAAGAGAAAACGTCCTGATAATTTACTCACCCACAGGTCATGTAAGATGAAGGAGACTTTAATTCTTCAGTAGAAAAAAAAAAAAGAAGATTTTTGAGTTGATTCTGTGGTGTTTAGTGACTCTTATAATGGCAGTGAATGGTTACAGGTTATTCAGATTAAAAATAAACAAATACAAACATGTCTAATTCATAGCCGTGGCTCCTGATGACACACTGAGGTTTTGCGAAGCAAAATGATTGATCCTTATTAAAAAAATTGAACATCATTTCATCATCTTTTGCCATCAAAAGCGACTGGACTACTATCGGCCCACATTCACCAAGATCGGTTTGACTAGGCTGTGGATTAAAGCTAATAATATTGTATGTATATATATATATATATAATTAAGTAATTTCTTAAAGAAACCAATCCATTTGCTTCACAAAACCTCAGTGTGTAATTGGTTATTAATTTGGACTCGTTTGCATGTGTTTAATTTAAATCTAAAAACCTGTCACCATTCACTGCCATTATATGAATATACCAGATTCAGCTCAAAATCTTCCTTAAGCTTTACTAAACAAAAAACTACATCTTGGATTACCTGTGGTGGAGAAAACTAACAGGAAATTTTCATTTTTGAGGGAACTATCCCTTTAAGATCCATGACTCCTATCATGTATCCAACATAGTGTTTGAGTGTGAACTGAGGAGACACACAAAGAGTTTCCACAATCCAGGTTCACCCAAAAGAGAAAACGTCCTGATAATTTACTCACCCACAGGTCATGTAAGATATGAAGGAGACTTTAATTCTTCAGTAGAAAATAAAGGAAGATTTTTAAGCTGATTCTGTGGTGCTTGGTGACTCTTATAATGGCAGTGGATGGTTACAGGTTTATCAGATTAAAATAAACAAATACAAACATGTCTAACTCATAGCCGTGGCTCCTGATGACACACTGAGGTTTTGCGAAGCAAAATGATTGGTTCTTATAAAAAAAATTAAGATTTTTTCATCAAAATTTTTGCCATTAAAAGCGACTGGACTTTTATCGGCCTACATTAGCCAAGATCGGTTTGACTAGGCTGTGTATTAAAGCTAATAAAATTGTGTATGTATATATATATATATATATATATATATATATATATATATATATATATATATATATATATATATATATATATATATATAATTAAGTTATTTCTTAAACAAACCAATCCTTTTGCTTCACAAAACCTCAGTGTGTCATTGGTTATTAATTTGGACATGTTTGCATGCGTTTATTTTAAATCTAAAAACCTGTCACCATTCACTGCCATTATATGAATATACCAGATTCAGCTCAAAACTTCTCTTATTTTTTACTGAGAAATAAAAGTGACCTACATCTATACGAAGACCTCAGTGGTTCATGGGCTGTTGATTTCGACTCGTTTATATGTTAACTTTTAAATCTAAAAACCTGTCACCATTCACTGCCATTATATGAATATACCAGATTCAGCTCAAAACTTCTCTTATTTTTTACTGAGGAATAAAAGTGATCTACATCTATACGTAGACCTCAGAGGTTCATGGGCTGTTGATTTGGACTCGTTTATATGTTAACTTTTAAATCTAAAAACCTGTCACCATTCACTGCCATTATATGAATATACCACAGACTCAGCTCATAATCTTTAACGTTCTACTGAATGAATCTACATCTTAGATGACCTGCCTGGGAACTGTCTCTTTCAGATTCATAACTCCATAACATTTATTCAACGTAGTCTTTGAGTGTGAACCAGTTTCCAGTCCAGAAACAATTCCCGTTTTCTGTATATTACTATACATATTTCGTCCCTCAAAGTTTTCACGAGATACACCTTCACATATCAGGATATGCGGCAGGACATTTCTGAATTCTTGGCGCCGTCATAAAGAAATGCAGTTGAGTCTCAACAGTGTGTCAGTGCCTTTATCATCTTCCCTCTTGAATAAACACGTCTCTTTCGTCTTGTTTTCAGCGTTTGTCACAGCGCTTGTTCATTTCTTGTCCCACACGAGCCAACAGCGCCGCCCTCATGGACGAATCCAGAACGTTCTTCTCTGCTACTCTTTGCACAATAACTTCAGGTTTGTCCTCCTAGCATGAAAAAAAAATTATGTTTTAGTTTTTAACTTGTATATTAAGATAACAAGTAAGTCACAATAGTGGTGAACTTAATAACAACCTATTTCATGCAGACAAAGCAATAAGAAATACTGACACTAAACACAAAGCAATCATTATGGCCTCTGATACACTAGAACAGGGGGGGTGTCAAACTCATTTTAGCTCAGGGGCCACATGGAGGAAAATCTATTCTCAAGTGGGCCGGACCAGTAAAATCACGGTATAGATATCTTAAAACAACAACTTCAGATTGTTTTCTTTGTTTTAATATGATCAACATAATACATAAAGCTGGAGAAATCCAAAAATTATAATAAGATATTGAGAATTAATTTTAATCTCGTGGCCCACCTGTAGGATCGCTGAGGCCCGATCAAGTGTGCCGCAAGCCTACGTTTGAGTGAAGGTTTCGGCCGTTAGATCGCCCCCTGGGGGCTGGCTGCAGTACAAGTCATAAAGCCCGCCTCCTCCGTGTTAATGAAGGAGACTTGAGCCCAAATAAAAAAAATTATTACACTTGCAATAAAATGTCCTGAAAGATGGTTGTGGTGGATTAAGGCACTGGTTATTGTGCTGAAATAGGTGCAGATCTTCATTTTTGTAAACAGTTTGTTTTTAGCAGTAATTTAATGCTGGGCGTGTCATCGTGATTGACAGCTGTGATTGACAGTTTCTCAAAGCGCGGCGTCTGAGCTTCGGCAGGAGACTGAAGTAGACTGAAATGTTATTATTCGATTTCTGTGTTATTTTACCATGACAAAATGAGTTCAGCAGTAAACTATAGTTTCTGACATACATGATCCTGGTGGAACACTGTTTATTCGCTAAGTTCAGGGCTTTTTTCGGGCTTTATTAGTTTGCTGATACACGCCTAGCCACCCAGATAGCAAAACACAGTTCCGGCTAGATTCTCGCCTGCCGGAGACTTATCTCTTAGAGCTCAGACTGACTAATGTTACCTCTGCTGGACCTACTCCGGATGCCTGGACTCACTACCCAATTCCAGCCCGAGTCAATCGAGCCAGATGCGGCGGCCGAGCGAGCAGGCGCTGCCGCATGCGAGCCGGAATCAGCCCGCGACGCCGCGAGTAAGTTATGCGCTGCGGCCTGGAGCTGGCGCGATTGAATATATAAAACCCTCATATTTGTTAACGTTATTACATCCATTTGTGTTGATATGACAGCAAACGCATGCTGAGAAGTTCGGGGGGCGTAGTTGATTTTACATAAAGCGTTTGATTGGAAGCTTGACTCTGCTCATTTTCGCGGCTCCTCCTCTGGCTCCATCAGACAATTCTTCTGCGCATGTCTGGCTCCAATTTCAGCAGTCTTTTGCGACAGTTTGTGCCCGTCAAGCAGGCGTTTTGCCCTCAAGGCGTTCAATGGGAAAAAGGGCTGTCGCGTCGTCCATATTTTTTACAGTCATTGGGCCCGATAGTGAGCTGCGGCTCAACGGTTGAGAATCCCTGATTTATAACCGTTTGAAGTTGCGCCATCCGGTGGACACAATTGGAACAGCAGCTTCTTTTATTGATAAATTGCAGCTCATTTTTATATTTTGCAGAATCATCTAGCAGGCTGGAATAATAATAATAATAATAATAATAATATATATATTTTTTTAATTATTTATATAGCACCTTTCCAGAGCTCAAGGACACTTTACAAGTGCCTCATTTCCACTGACTGGTACAGTACGGTACGATTCGGGTCTGAACAGGTCACCTTTATCAGGCTTGGGTTTCCACCACAAAGGGCAGCCTTTTGGTGGGTGTGGTGTATAACAAAGTTTCAGTCGACGTCATGCTCGCTCGAATAAACGTCTACAGTAAAGCTGTACAGGTCGTTCACATATCATAATGAGCAGCACTTCTCACAAAACAGATGCTTAATACACATAAATACTTGTGTATGAATGTTTATAACTAACTTTTCTATGAACAGGATTTTATTATAAGTGCAGATTATTTACAGCGTGAAATAGCCTACTGTAATGTCTGTAATTATATCAAAAAAATACATAAATGCAACATATATGAACACACAACGCCCTTACAGTCTCTGATATATTATTAATTGCAGAAAAACTACACACATCAGACATTTAGTACTTATTTAAGTTAAAAAAAAACAAGCAATATAGCCCACAGTCAGAGCAAACCTCTCATCTGTGTGTGTAATCTTCAGCAGCACATGTAGGGCATACTCAAACTATGCCATCCGTACCGTGCCCAGGCCTGTTTCCCGGATTGTTTGAGAAGTGTGAGTGCGCTGAATCGGGCTCAAGCACAGTTCACTTGGCCGGCCCTCGCCCGGTTGTAAGAGGTGGGCCTGAGCGCGGTTCACTTGGGCTTTGACGCGGTACGTTTGTGTGTGAGTGCAAAACGCACCAAAGCCCGAAACTGAAAGTGAGACGTGACTTTTAAGGGGCTGTTTCATATGGATTTATTAATCATTCTTACTGTTCAGTGAACGCAAACTGCCTTAGTTTATTAAAGACGAGAACTCCTCACTGCACGACAGCTGTGCGGCTTCAGCAGACCTCCTCATTCCTCCAGCACGAGAGCTTTATTATTGTTTATGAGCGCCAAAAGTGGCGGATCTGTTCGGCGAAATATCTGACTGCGTGTCACCACATCCCAAAGGACTGTTTGGCGAATTATTTGACAGCATGTCACTGCATAACAAACGACTGAAACGATATAACTAGAGAAATCTCCACTGTGCTGAGCGAGTGAGAGCGCTTCTCACTGAACAGCGCAGCAGGGATGAAGTAAGCATGCCGAGGCCCATTTGTGGTGTGAGCGCGGGCTGTCAGGGGAGACAGGAGGGGGGACAAGCGTGCTTTGGCCCGGTTCGAGGCAACTGTACCTAGTGCGAGTACGGCCGTAAGCTCTGTTGGAGAGTCATTTTGTCATTCCCAGTTCATAATAGTCCAAAAGGCGAAGATAAACATGGCAGTTTGTTCATGATTCAGGTAGCTAAAACAATTTTGCTCCTGTGTTTTGACGGCTTCTCTTTTTTTCCTGCGTTTCACTCCCGCTTCACTCTCGCGCTTGTCCTTTTTTCCTGAATGGATCAGATGACGGAGACACTTCAATAATCACACACACACACGTTATTATCATGAGCTCAAGAAGTTCGTTATATCAAATATAGACACGTTCGTGAGCTCCCGGAAGAAAGCGAATACCGCTCGCACTTTTAGAAGGGCTCGTAAAGCAACAACAGGACACGGCAGATTTTTCTTCTTGGCTTTGTGTCTGTTCACCGAGACGACGTTAAGGTTTGTTTTAGCCCAGCTCATCCATGGCTCGTTGTTAAATGCAGGGGTGGACTGGGTCTAAAAATCAGCCCTGGCACTGTAGCCACACCAGCCCACACTACCACACCGACACAGGCCCACCCATAGACGCGCATATTCACTACTTATATTGGTGTACAGATGGTAAAATTGTATAAGCAGTACCACATTTAAGAGATATTTAAATATTCAATGTAGGTGACGGCATCAAAAACAACCCATTTATATATTCAATCATTTCATTCATTTTCTTTTCGGCTTAGTCCCTGGGAACCGCCAACTTATCCAGCATGTATTTTACACAGAGGATGCCCTCAAAGCTGCAACCCATTACTGGGTTACCCAATTCATCTATAACATGTGTTTGGACTTGTGAAGGAAACCAGAAAGAAACCCACGTGAAACCAACTGACCCAGCTGAGGCTCGAACCAGCGACCTTCTTGCTGTGAGATGACAGTGCTACCCACTACGCCACTGCGCTGCCCCCTTTCGAGACTAGTTCAGTTAATTTTATGTATTTGGCAGTGTCTGACTTGACTGCTTTTCCCTTTATATGGTACATCTCTGACAATTAGCTTGTGTTGCACTTACTGTTTGTTTGACATTCTTGCCAGATTTTGATAACGTCCGCGTAACCTCTGATTGGGTCGGCCCATCTCGAAACCAGCGGTCGTTGCCGATTGGCCCAATGTTTAACATTTATTATTATTCTTACTAGTATCATCATCATCATAATATTCACATCTTGCAAAAAATAAAAGCTGCCTAAATGTGAAAACAATATATGAAAAATAAATCAAAATAGCTGACCGGCCCACATTTAAAAAAAAATGGTCCAGCCCTTCTGGCATTTGCCAGAATTGCCAGATGGCCAGTCCGCCCCTGGTTAAATGCATGTAGTATTTCCATGTAATGTCTCGGCTTTGTATTTAAAAAAACATGTCGGTTCCTTTGTTTACGTTCTGTGTAGCTCCACGAGCTCGTGACGTATCTCTGTAACCAATCAGCGTTCAGCTGCACGTGCAGCTCCACCTTTTGATATCCTTTCTCCCGTTTGGCACCCTTTCGAAAGGGTGCCGAAAGTGGTACGGTACGGTTTGGTCCGGTGTGCTTTTTGACAGTGGAAACGGCCATAAAAGCGTACCAAACCGTACCGTACCACTCAGTGGAAACGGGCCATACAAGAATAAACCTGTTTGCGGGCCTGATCTAGCCCGCGGGCTATACGTTTGACACCCTTGCACTAGAATCTAAATACAAACCTTGTGAACGATGAATGATGTTATTTTCCCGTTGTCCGCCTGATAATCCAGCCAGAATAACTCAGTGCCAGTGTTCTCCATCTCTGTGCCTGAGCTGCTCTCATTCCAGTCCTCTGCTTCTGCGTTCACACCCGGCTCCGACCCATCTGAAACAATGAGTAGAAAGAAATCAAGCAAAATACAACAACTTGCCTAATTAACCTAGCTAATGTCACTTTAGGCTGAATACTAGTATCTTGAAAAATATCTAGTCAAATATTATTTACTGTCATCATGACAAAGATATAAGAAATCAGTTATTAGAGATGATTTATTAATTTGTTGATATAAATGAATAGAAGATGCTCAACTGATAAGATAGATAAATACAGGCTAATGTGTGTATATGTATACGGTTATATATATATATATATATATATATATATATATATATATATATATATA